TATCTGGAGACTTTTCCCGTTATGGATGTTTTCTCTTGTCTGCACCTAGACTTGCTTCCACATTCAATAAGCTGTTTTACCTTGGGAACATTGGTGAGCTTTTCTGAGCCTGTTTCCTCATGCATTTAATTACAGCATTTTCCTGAAATGTTTTTTTGTGAGGATTAAATGGGGATAATGCAGATAAAATATCTACGACAGATGGTGCTATGTAGTAGGCCTTAATACAGGTCGTTTTTTAAATTATTTGTCCTCTAACTTGCAGCCAAAAAACCATATGAAGACCATTTCAAGTCAAAGAAATCTTCATAACCTGAGTTAGGAATGTCAACCAGACAAGGAATGAAAGGGCCACGTATGAGGTAGCGAGCTCTGGTCATGGGGGTGTACAGGCTGAGGCTGGGTGGCCATGTTGCAGGGATGCCTAAATGGGAGTCAAGCAGTTAAGTGACGGAGTCAATTGCTACTCAAAGTGTGGTCCGCAGCCCAGCAACACCAGCACCATCAGCATCACCAGGAAACTTATAAGAAATACAGAATCTTGGCTCCACCCCAGGTGTCTTGTGTCAGCATCTGCACATTATCAGGATCCCTGGTGGGTCATATCCCCTTAACCAATTGAGAAGCACTAGATTAGATGAATACTAAAGCTGTTGAGAGACTTTATTTTTTATCAGTCTGCAACTGATATCTAAAAATGGATAAGAAAGACATATATTTTGAAAGAGGAGAGTTACAAATCAATCCTGATTGCCCTGATTTCCAAACTTTGTTTCAGTGACCAAAATTTCTATCCAACCCTTTTCCATTACAGTTCTTCTGTGTTAGCACCTAGTAAATTTACAAAACCTTGTTGATTCAATATGTGGATAAATTAATGAAGGAGGGAATAAAGGAATAAAGAATGGAGGAATGAGCTGAGCACTTCAGGAAGGTTTCTGTGGTTTCATAGGTGCTGAGAGTGCTGTCTTGTACCTGCTGTCCCACTGTACCCCTCCACCTTTAGCTTGTAGCGAGTCTTGGCGTCTCCCACGCTGAACCTGTCGTACACGGCGAAGGCTGTCTCCCCGCGGTCCTGCAGGTCCACCCGGAGCTCGTACTGTCCTTGGGCTGTGATTTTGCTCAGGTTGTCCAACCCTGTGGACACAGGCAAGGGTTGCTAACAAGCACAAGTGGCAGAGGCCATCATTTCTATCCCACCCTGTAACAGCAGCATCTGGGTACACGCCAAAGAGGTTTGTGTCACACAGACCTGGGCTTGAAACTTCCTCTGTTCTTTACTAGAACAACACAAATCAAAATATGTGATGTTTCTGAGCCTCAGGTAAAATCAAGTTGACATCTTCGCCCTACCAACCTCCTAGTGTTTTGTGAAGATCAAAAGAGATAAAGTGTGAAAGCGTCTTTTACTCTAAAGCTGCTTACAGACAAAAGGCAATGGATGCTGACGGGAGGAACATTCCAGGCCCAGGCAGTGATGCACAGAACAGTGCTTCGTGCAGGTGGGTGGGTGTCTGAGGTGCGTGGATGGATGTAGGATGGCAGTGCAGTGTTGATGTGAGAGATTTCAAGCTGCAGCTCAACCGCTCATTGGCTAGGTTCCTACGAGCAAGCCACTCCACCTATGTGAGGCTCTGTTTCCTCACATGCAAGACGGGAATTCTGCACTTTGCCAGGGTGCTGTGGGGGTTAGAGGTTATGGCTATAAATGACCCATCTCAGCACCTGGAGCACAACTGACAGCACAGAAGGGAAGCCGTCAATAATATCAGTAAGGACAATTCTGTGAACGGTTCAGTGAATGACGAAAGGCTTGGTTAATTCTTAAGGGCTGGCTGTTGGCTGTCCCTTGATCAGATTTTTATTTTTAGTGACCCAGAGTATTTAAATAGCCTTTTCCATGAATAATTTGATATTGTGTGTCTACTACCAGAACCAGTTTTCTCCTAACCCATTTCTCTCCCATAGGTCTCTGTGGGTTAGGAAAAATGACAAAAAGGGCAGAAATGGTGTTTTAAACACAAATATGCAGGGCTGCATTACCAAGCCAGAATTCTTCTCTGCGGTCCCCAAATCCAGCAGCATAGGCCTTCCAGTTTCGGTAGAAGTCCTCGTGTCCATTTTTGCGTCTCAGGAACACCTATAAACATATCAATGAATCTGGGTGCACCTAAGCTTCTGAAGGAAAGGGGGCATTTTTCTGAGAGGAGGAAACATCAAACTGTGGGAAGAGCACCAGTCCCCAGCTCCGTTCATCACTAATTTGTCATGTGACTTTGGACAGGTCACCTCCCTTCTCTAACCCTTGGTGTGCCCACCTGAAAAGTAGGCATGAAAAATACTCCCCAGTTTTGGATAATAATGGTTTGTCAGTGTGGGTTCAGCGATTGTAACAAATGCACCAGTCTGGTGCAGGATGTTGATAATGTGGGAGGTTGTGTGGGGTGTGTGTGTGTGTGTGTGTGTGTGTGTGTGTGTGGTGTGGGGCAGGGGGTATATGAGCACTCTGTGTACTTTTTGCTTGGTTTTGTTAACCTAAACTGTCCTAAGAAAAATAAAGTTTATCAATTAAAAAAAACTACTAGCCAGGTCAGATGGTAATGGGGCTGAATAATTCATGTAAAACTCTCAGCACAGTGCCTGGTAGATAATAATGCTAAGTCAGTACTAATTAGTGTAAGTAATGGGTTCAACGAGCACTGTCATTTATACATCACAGAGTTGTTTGATGAAAATCAGATGAGATTCTTTTCATCTCCCAACTCTTTCCCATTCCTCTGTTTAAGAGAGAATTCCTGAGGGCCTCGGTGTGGCAGACACTATCTTGCAAAACCTCATGCACCTGGTGTCAGTGCACAGGGAGGGGAGGAGTTCTGGGTCCTCTCCCACCTCCCTCATGCCCGAGAGCTATGGAGTCCCTGCTGATACTCACGATCCATCCACCCCCATCAGAGGTCATGTCACAGAAGACTTCCAGCCCCTGGGCCTTATCGCCATGTAGATAAATGGTGTAGAGGCCAGAGGTCGTGTCTCCATTCAGCATTGCTTGAGAGCAGTCCCTGGGGAATGGGTACAGGAGTCCAACTGTGGAATAAGGAGAAATAGTGACTCAGAGCAGGAGGACTGGGTAGGAGCTTTGAAACTGTAGCTCAGCTGTTTATTGGCTACATTCCTATGGGCACGCAACTTAGCCTTTCTGAGTCTCCAGAAAATCTGGAGGTAAAATCTACTTTGTGGGGGCACTAGGAGGCTTAGAGGTTATGGATATGCAGGACGCATCTTAGTCCTTTACACTGATGGAAACTGTCAGTGATATTGGTGGGAGGAGAGCGG